TCGTATTAAATTATAACAAAACGCGAATTCCGTGTTCAATTTAAACGGTTCTAATTTAGGAAATGGAACAGATTATATCAGAAATGCAAATACCTCAAACGGTACAGCCTGTGTTTTACAATCAAATGTTTCTTTAATGCAAATTAGTGCGATAAACAATAAAAAAAACAGTTAATAGTAAAGGGTTCTATACCTGAGAATCAATAAAAATGGCACTGGAAAAACGGTAGACTCGTTTCAACGACCTTGAACGGCCTGATTATAGGCGGCATTCCATATTTCAATTGCCGTTGGTGTGTTGGATCGTATGAGCAATAATTTTTTTTCATATTTAAGTCATCTTTTGCTGCATGAAAAAGCACAAAATAACAGCTAAGAGCACTAATATAGCATTCTCTGTCTTGTAGTGTACACGTTAGCTCTGTTGTTGCTTCGAAACTTGATCTGTGATCCTACCAACGTGGCAGCTGCCGTAGTAAACGTCAACACAATTATATAATTTATTGATAAGGTCCGTTAAACAATGTCAGAAAGATAAGATAACCTTAAAAGTTATAGGTACGCAAAGTTTTTGTGAATTGCTGTTAAACAAAAAAGTTAAGACGAAATGTCAACTCATCGTTAAGTCTTAAATATTTGTTGTACTTGTTTCAGTTAGTATTTTTTCAAGCAATAGCTTTTTTTAATAATCAATGCGTGTTGTCTATAGTGCTTCATGCTAAAATGAAATTTCAGTGGACATAAGCGAAGCGTTTCATAAACTAAGCGCGCTATTCAAAAAAGACAGTAGCATTTTTCCTCGCTGAGTAAATTCTATTGTTTTGATCGTTTATACGTATCAAAACTACTGTTTTTCACTTTAATTGGGTTTCTTTCAGTTAAAGCATTTGATTAGATTATCGTTTTTGTTTCGAAATTTGTTTGTTGTTAGTACTTTTGAGTACTCTGTTTTTCTATAGTATCTGTTAGCACTTTTGGTTCCAACATTCTAAGTTTTCCCATTTTTTTGGTCATAGATTATTTTTGTACCTGAGTATTTCTGCATCTAGTTCTTTTAAAAAAACAGTGTTTAAATGACTGGACGGTGCAAAAAAAGTTATTGCCAACGCCTGGGCTGTCGTTATCCTTTTGAAAGCGGCATGCAATGAGATGAGTGCAAGGGATGGTACCACGAAGTTTGCACAAATTTAACACCTGCAGCTTTCAAACGGTTCAGTAAGAATGGTTGCGTACGGCTCAGTCAACAGTGCTGTTTGGATGCCAATAGCTTGCTAACCGACACTATCTCATTGGTTAGTGATGCTGAAAAATGTTTTAGCAAGAGTGGTCGCGACACATCAACAAGTACTCGCTCCGTCCAAACGCAAATTGGCGGGAGGCAAACTAAAGTGAGTTCAAAAACAGATGACTTGCACCGACCAAAGGAGGAAGAACAGCCTTCAAAGAGTTCTGTTGGCACAAAAAACTCAAGGAAAAAAGTTTCTTCTGTCCCACGTCTTCAAAATGGTATCCTGAAAGAAACACATAGAAGCCGCAAACGCAAGGCTCGATTTGTTTCTAAAGGGACACATAACCTGACCTCCCAAGTCATCAAAAAACCTCCGCAATCCCACAGTATATTTAATGCGACTGTGGTTGCTTCTCCAAGCGACGTTGACGAATTGGTACAGGTTGTAAGGAAGAAACAGAAAAACGACATAAAAGGGAACCCTGTCCCCACAAAAGTAGTCAAAAATTCGAAGGCTGATAACAGTAAGAGATCAGTTATTTTTCACAGGATCAAGGAGAGCGAAAGCTCCGAACCAAAAACTCGTTTTAAGCATGACATTGTCCTGATAAAACAGCTACATAATCAACTCATGCCTCAATATATCTCCGGAGTCACTTTGCTAAAGGTGTATAGACTAGGTAGTTTAGCGAACTTGAAGCCTAATCGATCTAGACTGCTTAAAGTAGTTTTCAAATCTTCGAATGAAAGGGACTTAATTTTACAGAATGGACATATGTTAAAGGGTTCGAGAGTTTTTATCCGAAAGGACTTGCCGTTGGCAGACCGTGTAAAAAGACGGGAAGCCGAAAACGAACTACAAATGAGGTTAGACGCTGGCGAAAAGGACCTGAAAATTCTAAATTTTTGGGTTGTGAGGCTTCGTCAGAAAGTGATGCCAAAGCCACTCTGGGTGAAGCACGAAACCACTTAAAAAGGCTTCAGATCTGTTACACTAATGCCCAAATCTTGTTCAATAAGCGATCGGAACTAGGTGAACAGATTGACTCGACAAAGCCAGACATAATCGCAGTCACAGAAACCTGACTGACACAGTCTATGGATAGTATGGAACTCGATTTTGAGGGTTTTACTTTAGTAAGGACCGACGGAGTACATAAGCGTAAGGGAGGGAAAGTAGGTCTATTCATTAGGAATGCTATCTCGTTTGTCATTATTGACAGTATATCCCATGAAAGTGAGACATGTAAATTGGTTAACTGCCGATTGAAATGCAATGGGAAAGAGCTGCTGATTGGTTTGGTCTATCGCAGTCCAAGCTGTGAGGTAAAGGATGTCCCGCTAAACAGGCTCAAAAATTAGTCGCAAAGCGGTAGACTGGTAGACTGGGGAAATCTGCGAATCGAATCATCAGATAATTCCTTCGAGCAGGAACTAGTTGATGCGGTTAAAACGTGTGCCCTTGTGGAACATGTGAAAGAAGCGACTAGGTACGACCCGGACACTGAATCATCCTTACTAGATCTTATATTAACTCACTATGAGGATGACGATGCGAACCTCCTTTACATGCCACCCATAGGTAAAAGTGATCATGCAGTTTTAACTTTTGACTTCCATATAACTGTCAATCACGAGCAAGCGTCAACTCAATCCAGACCTAACGTCTGGAAAGCAAGCAAACCAGATATCATGCACACAGCATCATTAGTAGATTGGACAATAGACCCAGAGTCCTCAATTGAAACGGCTTGGGACGCATTCCAAAATGTATACTTTAAAGTTACCGCACCTCACATTCCTTGGACTGTACCAAGGGGGTCGAGAAATTCCCCACCACGGTTCAATAGGGAGGTCCGCATCCTTCTCCGTAAGAGAAGAAAAATGTGGGATAGATTCAGGTTACTGGGGACTGATAAGACAAAATCTCATTACCGAAAAGCTGGGAGTACCTGTGCCTCGACCCTCCGTAAGTCTAGAAAGCTGTACGAAGAAAAAATTGTGAAGGAATCCATAGAATGTCCTAAACGTCCGTATTCCTATACAAAGCAAAGGACAAAAAGAACAGGAATTATTCATGCACTATGGGGAGACAGTACTGCCGAATCATTAGTGGAAGATGACTTTGGTAAGGCTCATGTGTTCTCAAACTACTTTAGCAATGTATATACCATAGAAGCACCCTTCCTGTCAGCGCATACAAACCCCCCACACACACATACACTGGATAGCGTGACCATTAATGAACGCGATGTCTTTGATTTGCTAAATAAGCTTGACATAGGTAGATCCATGGGGCCCGATGAATTGCATCCTAGGCTACTAAAGAAATTATCTAACTTCGTTGCGAACCCTTTAAGTATATGCTTTAGGCTATCCGTTACGCAGGGTCGTTTACCAAAAGACTGGAAGAACGCCATAGTAAGTCCTGTCTTCAAAACAGGTACGAAACATAAACCTGAGAATTACCGACCCGTCAGCCTAACTAGTGTGGTCGTTAAAATCTTAGAAAAGATTATTCGGAAAGAGCTGTTTAAATACCTCGATGTAAACCGGATCGTCTCGGAGAAATAGCACAGTTTCAGAATAGGTTATTCTTGTCTCACTAACTTATTAGTCACTTGAGAAAGCTGGTGCGCTTTTAAGGACCAAAAGTTACCTGTAGACGTGGCTTACATTGATTCCAGCAAAGCTTTTGACAAAGTTCCGCACAACCGGCTAAAAAATGTCAGAATTGGAGGCAATCTATTGACGTGGATAGAAGACTTCCTTGTTGGGCGCCAACAAAGGGTACGGGTAAACTCAAAATTATCTATCTGGGAAACTGTGCTTAGCGGAGTGCCCCAGGGTACAGTTTTGGAGCCTGTGCTATTCCTCTTGTATGTAAATGACCTTCCTCGCTTACTATCATCATCGGTCTTGCTATATCCTGACGATGTCAAGATATGGAGAACGATACGATGTAAGGGTGATAGCATAGAACTCCAATATGACATCAAAAAATTATCCGAATGGTCTCATACATGGCAGCTGGCGATAAATACTTCCAAGTGTGTTGTGATGCATATCGGTCATCAAGGTTCAGATACATACAAGATGAATAACACTGATCTACCTGTTGTCCAGACACATGATGACTTAGGAGTCATCGTTTGCCGAGATCTGAAGACTACTGCACACTGCCGTGCAATAGCCGCCAAAGCTTTTAGAACTTTATGGTCAATACGTAGGGCTTTTACTCATGTCGACGCTCAAACGTTTTTGACTTTGTATACAGTGTTCGTACGTCCTAAACTTGAGTACTGCATACAAGCGGCTAGCCCCTGCCTAAAAAAAGACAGTGAGCTTTTGGAAAAGGTCCAGAGAACAGCAACTAAGCTGATTCCCGGAATAGCGAAGCTTCCGTATGATGCTCGACCGGCCAAGCTAAACCTATTCGCTTTGTCATATCGTAGAACTAGAGGCGACTTGATTACAGTTTTGAAATTGCTTAGTGATAAATTTGCACCTGATATGTCCTCATTTTTTCTGTCTTCCAAAACAGAGAATTTACGAGGACACTCCAAAAAATTTCACAAGCCCAGAACAAACTAATTGTCAGCTGATTATCTACTTTCCCACCGAATCTTCAACGAGTAGAATTCATTACCTCAACACGTGGTTGAAGCTCCATCCGTAGAATCTTTCAAAAGAAAGTTGGATCAACTGAGAGAACACAATTGCCAGGACTAACAAAAGCCATCAAGCCTCCTGTCCTTTCCAAACTGAAACTGAGCAAGGCGGTTTGCTCGAGTATCTGGTCTACCTGTTCCTACCGTCTGGATATTTTAACAACTTATCTGTTTTCTTGTTTGTTTTAACACATCATTATGCCTATAAGTCTCATATCCTATTCGGGAGCGTTTGTGAAAAATTTACGACATTTCGCTGTACAAGTTACAAAAGAGCTCAATCAGAGACATCATGGTTACTGGCAGTATGCATGGAAAAGGATATACATTTATCAGGTGCCGATTTCTGAACTGCTAACATCTAACTGGCGATCACTTAATATTTATCGCAAGAACTGCAGCTCTTGGCAATTAAAATTGAAATGCTAAACGACCGATGCTCAAGCTTCCGCTATTAATATAATATCAATATAATATTGTACAATAATACGCTTTTCCTTTGAAATTAAACCATTTAAATATATACTGCTAGTCCCGTCTATTGCAGTTTCACTGTGGTTTCTTGTGGAAATAAAGGCGAATATAGGATACCTTTTCGCTAATGCCAATGATGATATAAAAGTTGGATCAAAAACAGGCAATTTTGTGTGCATTTAAGCGGAAAATAGGCAATCCCGCGTAAATTCAGGCGAAAAGTAGACAATTTGGCGGAAATTTATTCAAAAAGTAGACAATTCGGCGAATATTTAGGCGAAAAGTCGACAATTTGGCGTACATTTAGGCGAAAAGTAGACAATTAGGTGAAAATTAGACAATTTAGGACAAAAGGAGGAAATCCGCATTATTTCCCCCGGACAGGCGAAAAAGGCGACATTTTAGCGCGTTTTCCCCTTTCTTTACCAAAGCATTTTCCCCTTTTTTCGCCTTTATTTCCACTTTATTGGTTGATTGGGTGACCAAGAAATAAGAAAGGGAAATTTGTTGAAATACTTTGTGCTGAGAATTCTATATTGTACCAAAAATATAATATTGAATAAAGCCACTAGTAATAATAATAATTTCAACGTATTATACTAAACAAGCGATTTGGAAGCTGGATTGATTTTGATAGTGCTCTAAAGGATTTTCAAAGGGTATGTAACAAAAATTCTATGTTTTTTCAGATTACCCATACTCACTATGTTCACACAGAAAGTAAATTGTTGAAGGATGTGAGGTTTAAATACTTGTTTGTGGTGTTTCATTGCACGTTTGGTCATAAACGTAAATCCGAAGGTCTGTTGGTGAGTAAAAAACCGTGAGGACTTAAACTAATATGTTACATTTTAGGTCTAAGTTTATAAACTGCCAATCTAGGTTTTGTATAAGATTGGAAGTTCAAGAATACGTTATAAAATCTCACATGTCTCACAACCATCCTTGTAGTAGTTCATGGATGGTTTGTAATGCTTGGAGTAGAAGATTGTCATCCGAAGAAAAAGAAAACTTCAAGCCAGTAATATTGCACGCTCAGTCAACAGATGAAGTTATAGAAAGTACTAAGGAGAGAACTGGTAAGCAGATTACCGCTGCTGATGTCAAAACTATGAAAGCTAAACTCTCAACTGGTAAGTGTATAGAAATATATTTCAGGTTGTACTCGAATGCATGTGCTGCGACAAAACGGTGAAGTTAGGGAGCATGTAGAAAATCGATATATTACAAGAATGTGCTTCAGCAGTTACGGTTGTACAATCTATATCCTGAAGTCGTGTGTATTGATTCGAATTATAATACCAATAATAAAAAGTGGTTGCTCTCTTTGTTACATTGCACTTTGTAGATATTCCTTATTCCAGTTGGTCGTAACAGACAATTTTGGTCGTGGGCGGCCTGTAATATTTTGTTGGACGAAAAAGGAAATGTGCGCAGATGTCACGTGGATTCTAGAGAAATTCAAAGAGGTTATAGGAAATACATCGAAAACCCAGACCTTTGTTATAGATTGCGCACGAGCAGAAAGCGCAGCTGTTCGTATCACACACTCTAATGATAACATAATTTTGTGCGTCTTCCACGTATGTCGCGCTTTCCGCAAAAAAGTAGATCAATGTTGATTAACATAAAATTGCCTTTAGACTCACAACAAAATATTGAGAACGTACTTAACTCGACTAGTAACTGCAGAAACGGTTGGAAGGTATTTTTTGAAATATATTTATTCAGCAGATTTAATCAATATTTCAGAATAATTAACCAAAGAGATAGGCAACTAGGTCAATATCTTCATTGATTTTGGATGTTGCGCAAAAGTATGTTAGCGCTCGCGTTTTACGGCAATGTTTTAACGCTGAGCAATAACACAAATAACCGTGTAGTCTCTCAACCGTCAGATAAAAAGGTAGGTGAGGAGAACAGATAGTTTATATAAATGTATATACCAAGTTTTCAAGTAGAGTGTAATGACATCCTCTAGGAAAAGCATTGAAGATCAAATACTAGCCGCAAGGTCGTGTACATATGATGCTTCACAGCGTTTAGTTCCGTTGCTGAACATGCTAACGCCATTCGCACGATCAAAAGTGTTATACGAACTAAAAAAGTGCGTTTTGGTTATGTGGAATATGAAAGTGGCGATTGGTTATTTACTTTTGACTGCGGAAAGCATTATAAAGTGGATCTAAGCACTTGAGTGTAATTGTAGAATATTTGTTACATGCCGATATCCTTGCCTCCATCTGCTACTGGCATATGTTAGAAGACAAACTCTTACAGGTAAGCTTAATCACTTACGAAATATAAACTATATAGCTCACCAAATTCTTAGGCATTTTTGTAGATGGAAGTTAGATAATACCCACAACTTACCAAACAACACAACAGTTTCATTACCGATACTGAGTGAAGAATATATACAAATTCAACGACTCCAAAGAATGTGCAGACGACAAATTATTGAGAAATATGTTGAACAATTCGCGAAACAGGTTGAGAGAAAAGTCTACAATTTTTACTTAAGAATTATCAACAACTAGACAGCACGTTCACGATAAAAAGTTCTTTGTGGTTTTATTTTTGATTTCACTATAATTACAACTCGTAAACTTATTTTTCTGCTTTAGTAGTCATGACATATCAATAAACTTTTGCTCAATATTTATTTTCGTCTTCTTTATACTTTCATGGGGAGGCATACCAATAGTTTTAACGAATAACTGTGTGTGAGAATTAAGAACTTGTACCACTGCATTAGTTTCGTAGTTTCGTTAGAACTTAGCGTTATATCATTGTTAATTGTGACGAATCGATGAGTAATTTGGAACAGTAATGCGACTTCCACGTAAAACCTTACAAATTAGGCAACGGCTTGACATATTTTCCTTTGACGAATTACCCCAATTATCAAATAAGTATTGGTACCAAACTAGACAATAATTTCATACAGTTAGCTCCCTAATAAGATGGGTTACGTAATCCTTAAACCACCCTTTCACTCACACATATTTGCTAAATTTATCCTCTTAAATTATGTGAACTCTTAAAATTGTACCCAATTATCTTATTATTTTTTAAATCAATGATTCATTCATTACCTCTAGATTTATCACACAATTTATCTTATCTGCTTCTGAACTGTACTCGACTATAACACCACCCATCATTAATGTTTATTACGTCTAACACCAAATAACCTTCGACCTGTTCAAGCATATATATATATATATATATATATATATATATATATATATATATAGTTATTATTGACAACCTAGGTCACATTGTTCTCCATCCATATTTGTTTTCGCTTTATTTAGACTATAATCATACATGCAGGATTTGTAATTTAAGACACTGAGTATGGTTGTTATATTTATGTCTAAATAATTCATTAGATGAATGAACATGGCAGTAGGCAATATAAAACAGTTATCGTAAACTTGTAAACTGGTTTTCCACATGATCTTCCGTAATAATAAATTCCATAAGCTTCATACTATTCTGAAAAACAACAAATCAGTCTTGAGACAAAAAATTTAGCTTTGTTATCAGAATCAAATTCAATAAGTTAATCAAATAGCAGGTAACAGAATGTATCTATAAGTCTATTATTTGTAAACAGTGCTATTCATTAGAGATTTCAGATTGGGTTAATAAAAATCCATTGATAATCTTTAGAAGAGACACCTCATAAATTAGTGTTATTTACAAATTGCTGTAGTTACTATGACCACAATATATAGGCATGGTTCGACTTATGAGGAAAATGTGACTAATTAATGTGGCACAAAGGAGATATGAGTGCTATGCCAAGTCAGACTGCAATGGAGTAGGAATTCAAGAATTGACTGAATATCAGTTGTTATTTGATTTTAGGGTTTTGTCGTATCAAGGACTGGGAGTTTCAAATCCCCATCAAATAACTGTGGACGCTTCACAATTTTATGGCATTTGTTTATAACAAGTTTATGATGTAAACGAAAGGTTAATGGTTTCACAGCTCATATTGCCTCATAACTCTGATTTCAGTATACTTATGACTTCACTAGCAGGTTACAAATAACCTGTAAGTTTCTTATTTCATGTAAACAGCACTGTTTATTTTCTAAACCTTCTAGTATTTCACCTAGACATTTAGTATTAAGAAAGAATTTGTAAGCACCATTTAGATAATACTCGACAATATGCATTATAACTTAGTTCAGAGTTTGGTCAGTGATTGTGGATTCTGTTTACAGAAACTTATTCGTGAACCCTATAACAAATACATCATCACCATAATCAAGGAGGTGAACCTAATATAATACGTTTCAAAGATTATTTTCATGAAAAATCAATTGATGATCTACTTTTTGACTTGAAAAATTGTGAATTTTGCTGACTTGAGTATGTATTGTTACTAAAGTTTCACTTAATTAAGTGAAACCACTTATGTGGTGAGGAATAGACACGTCAAACTGCTAATAAACTGGAAAAACAACTATCTAACAAGCACAAACATTATGAAAATTGACGTGTGATGAAAAAATGATGTTAAAACCTGAAAAATAACGACACAAAAAATCCACGACAACATGTAACAGGCGGGCGAAAACCCAAGGCTTACCCTAGAGCCCGTGCTTCAGAAAAACAACAGTTGTAACACGTATTAGCGGCAGTTACTGAAGGGCTGAAGAATCTGAAACAACAGCACACAATGATTAACCGAGCACTTCACATCACGGAGAGAGAACACGGAACGCAAGACACCAGTATTTATTTTTAAAATTAAATTTTGCAGGAAATGTACAGAAGGGGGAAGCGTTAGTTTACAAACAGTTTTATGAGTCGTCCTGCAGACTCAGTGCATGTAGAGCTTACTCTTCTTCTTCTAAAGCATTTATTTTTGGTCGGCCTGGAAAAGAAAGAAAACAGAATCTATTAACACAATATACATGATGATTTTATCGCTGTTACATCGCCCCCTCTCCTAATAGGGCACTGTCCTCAGTGCGTGATCTTGGGCACGGGTATGCTGTTCCTCCTTCTGATGATACTTCATAAAATCTTGTGGCCGGCAAACTGAGCATTGGAGGAAACTGTCATTCGATCCGGTTTTATTTGGTTGTAGTGTACAGTTATTACGTCGTCTTTAGGTCGTTGTATGTTACGCAATACAAACGTAGTGGGGGATCGGATGAGGATAATTTCAAAAGGACCTTGTCAGGACTGGTGGAATTTACTGCAACTCCCTGACGGTGTCATAGGGCGGCGTAGCCAGACGCGACCTTTGACTGTATACATCGGTCCTTTCACTTGACGATCGTACATGTCTTTTTGGTGTTCCCTAGCCTTACGCAAGTTGATATTGAACAGGCGGTATGCATCAGCTAAGCGGTTGCGGAGAGTACGTATATACGGTACATGCTCTTGTTCCTCGTAAGGTAGCAGGGGTGACTGTATCTCTACCGGTAAGCGTAATTCGTGCCCGAACAGTAGCATAGCAGGTGAGAATCCCGTGGAACCGTGTACCGACGTACGATACACTAAAAGGCATTGGGGGAGCACATTATCCCATAATTCAGGTGACGATCTGCTGACAAACGACTGTAAGATGGCTTTAATAGTTCTGTTCGTTTTTTCCACGAGGCCGTTACCTTCTGGGTGTGTGTCTTCCTGATTCCTAATAGCCGGCATATCTCAGCGATGAGGTGACTTTCAAAGGTTGGACCTTGGTCGGAATGAAGTGAGACTGGTGCACCATAACGAGAGACCTAATGATCGATAAAAGCTCGGGTAACAGTAAGGGCGTCTTGCTGTGGAGTAGGTACTGCTTCGCACCATTTAGTGAAATAATCCACCATAACCAGTATGTAGCGATTCCCGTTCTTTGTCGTTGTCAATGGTCCTATGATATCTATGCCGACCCTCTGATGTGGTCCTGTTGTCACCATCGGTGTCATTGGTGCACGGGGTGTCTGCTGAGGTGATTTAAAACGGCAACACTTGTCACAATTCTTGCAAAACGTGCTACATCTTCATGTATAGATGGCCACCAAAAACGTTGACGGACAGCGTGTTCCGTCCTTCGTTCTCCCGCATGACCAAGTTCGCGATGTACCTGCTCCACAATGCTCTCGACTTTAACTCGCGGTACTATCAGTAGGGGTTGTTTCGGTTCATTAATTAGGAATAACGTCTCACCATATAGTTTTAGGTTGCTCCATTTAGTGCATTTACGAGTTGTTAATGGCTGATCTTTTAACTCCTTCAGTGGTGGCATATTGTTTCCGTGTAACTGTTTTTGGCAAATAATCTGCAGGTCCGGATCTGTTGCTTATAGGGAGGCCAATCAGTTTCCAGCGCTGTACTAAGAATTGTGTTAACATTATTTGTGGTCTGTAGTATTCGGGAAAGGGCATCCGCGTTTTTATGTCGGTTTGCCGGTCGATACTCGCATGTGAAATTAGACTCTTGTAGCCGTTCGTGGCAGCGTGCCACTTGCCCTTCTGGTTCGCGGAAAGAGCGGAGCCACTGTAATGCACGGTGATCCGTGCACACACGAAAGGGTTTGCCCTGTAGATAATGGCGAAAGTGTTGTAAGAATTTTACTATTGCTAACATCTCTCGACGTGTTGTAGAATACCGTGCTTTACTCTTATCTAATCGTCGACTAGCATACGCAATGACTCTTTCGTGTCCATCTCGATCTACTTGCGATAGAACTGCTCCAATGGCCAAGGAACTAGCGTCCGTATCGAGTATAAATTCACCTCCGTCTGCTGAAGTATCCGAAAAGGCTAATATAGGTGGGGAGGTTAATCGTGCTTTCAAAGCATCGAACGCCTTTTGAAACTCGCTAGTCCACAAGAATTTTCGTCTTTTGTGTGTTAATCTATGTAATGGTGTTGCTGATGATACAAAGTCGCGAACAAAGCGTCTGTAATAAGAAGCTAGCCCAAGGAAGCTATGAAGGTCCTCGGATGATGTTGATTGCAGTCAATTAACAATCACAGGTGTCTTTTCTTTATCTGTGCCTACACCATCTTCAGTGATACGGTGTCCCAGGAAGATTACTTCTTTCTGCAGCAGGCGACATTCGGACGGTTTTACTTTTAAACTGTGTTGTTGAAGGCGCTGAAGAACTGCTTTTGAATTGGTATTGTGTTGTTCGGGTGTGCTACCATACACAATAATGTCATCAAGATATATAAGGCATTTGTGGGGTACTATTTACTGTAAAACTGCTTGCATCAGTCTTTGGAAGATAGCCGTGGGATTCGTTAAACCAAAGGGCATCACTTGGAATTCATATGGACCATTTGGTACTATAAATGCAGTTTTTTTCTTGTGGTCGAACCTCTACTTGTCAATTAAAAGCCGAAAACCAACATGCGCCTCTCAAGGCACCTAGCGTGGTATCGATCCGCGGGAGTGGAAAAGAATCACGGTTAGTGATGGCATTGAGGCGTCGATGATCTACGCAGAGTCATAGAGAGGAATCTTTCTTTTTCTTTAAGACAATAGGGGATGCCCATGGAGATGACGAAGGAATTATGATTTTTTATCCAGCATATCTTTTATCATTGCGTCCAGTTGCGGTTGGTAGTGTACTGGTACTTTACGAGGTGGCTGTCGAAGTGGCATATGGTCACCTGTGAAGATGGAGTGTTGCACTGTAGT